GTTCTTTTACCATTCTTTTTTTACTTGCTTTTTCATTATTTTATTTATTTAATTAAAGAACTTTAAGACTGTCAGTGAGCATTAGTATGTTGCTTCTGTTGGCTTATTATTTTCTGGTACCTATCTTGTGATTACAGATCTACTGGTCTTGTGTCTGATAGGCTTGTTTTCTTCATTCTATACTTTGTGACTGAATCCCGGCAAGGCAAATCACTTTTAATTTTCATTTCCTCATCTCAAATCAGGATAAAATCAGCTGTAAAGTTGATGTCAGAATTAGAGATACAGCTAAGATAGTGTTCAAGCCATGATATGCACTGAGGTACTCATTATTTGATATATTATAGTAGGTTAGGATTATTATTTATGAAATTAGTATTATTAATGTTTCTTCTATTCCACAATGTATTGAAGTAGAAAAGTATTGATCTTTTGGACTTATCTGTAAAATGACAATAACAGGACTCTGAATAAGGTTCTTTCTATGAGTCAGTGTGTAAGGGTTCATGTACAGACCTCTGAAATCTACTCTTTGGAAATTCTCTTGACTTGTCTTTGACCATAATTTGATGTTCAAATGAATCTGCAGCAAAGTGTTATTAGTGTTTTCTCAAACAGTTTAAACACATTTTTAATTTAAGATGCACAGCATACAGATAAATACTGAAAGCGATAAAAATTCTACAACACCATATAAACTTTCTAGAAGCAGACATTTAAAGGCCTCATTAAACATACTAATGACAGGCTGGATAAAGAAAATATGGCACATATATACCATGGAACACTATGCAGCCATATAAAGGATGAGTTCGTGTTCTTTGCAGGGATATGGATGAAGCTGGAAAACATTCTCAGCAAATTAACACAAGAACAGAAAACCAAATACTACATGTTCTCACTCATAAGTGAGAGTTGAACAATGAGAACACACAGGCACAGGGAGGGGAACATCACACACCAGAACCAGCTCAGGGAGTGGGGGGGTAGGGAGGGGATAGCATTAGGAGAAATACCTAATGTAGATGATGGGCTGATGGGTACAGCAAACCACCATGGCTCGTATACACCTATGTAACAAAGTTGTATGTTCTGCACATGTATCTCAGAACATAAAGTTTAATAATAATAACATTTTAAAAAGACACTAAACATACTGTCATTTTACTTCTATAGGAGGTAAACTGATTGTTTATCTAACTTGGAGAAAACTTCCATTTCATCTTAAGTAATGCATCTGTACTGTATTACACACAGGGAAACATAACAAAGTTCCAACTGATGAAGAGCACATCACATCACATCACATCACATAGTGCATATTCCCTTTTTTTTTTTTTTTTTTAAATGAAACTGAGCCTCACTCTATTGCCTAGGCTGGAGTGCAATGATGAAATCCTGGGTCACTGCAACCTCTGCTCCTGGGTTCAAGCAATTCTCCTGCCTCAGCCTCCTAAGTAGCGGGGATTACAGGTGCCCACAACCACACCCAGCTAATTTTTGTATTTTTAGTAGAGACAGGGTTTCACTATGTTGGCCAGGCTGGTTTGGAACTCTTGACCTCGTGATCTGCCCAATTTAGCCTCCCAGAATGCTGGGATTACAGACATGAGCCACCGTGCCCAACCCACGTAGTTCATATTCTTTAATACAACATACTTTGGTTTGATGGGGTGGGGGCTGAATAGTGACGCATACAGCAGGGAGTCATCGAGGATCACAGGCCTGAACTTCCTCACTGTATTACCCTGTGATCTCTGTCTCTCTTGTGAACTGACAAGGTCGGTCTAAATCTTTCCTTCAGCTTTAGGATTTCAATGATTTCATAAGTTTTCCCTAATAAGAGGTTGTTTTTGCAATAGAATTTTAAAGTCAGTTTGCAAATGTATTCTATAGATAAAACTGAATTAGTAAGTAGATCTGTTCAAAGTCTCACGAAACAATATGTATGATTTAATTAGCAGTTTGAACAGTAGACCATTGGTTATTAGATTAGCCACCTGTAGAAAATCAAAATATGCTGCAGGGCATGGTGGCTCACACCTGTAATCCAAGCACTTCGGAGGCCAAGGCAGGCAGATCATCTGAGGTCGGGAGTTCAAGAAAATCAAAATATGCTTTTGTGCATTTTATGGTGTTATATTTTCTTTAAAAAGTATTACTCTGTGTATATTATATTATTTTGGTACAAATATTTTATCAGAGCAGCTCATTGCCTAAATATATGAGATAAAAGATGATATGATTATCTTATATATTTTAATTAGATATACCAGTTTTAAAACTAATTTTTAAAAACCTACATCTTGGATGAATTTGATTCAAAGCACTTTTAACCATAAATTTTAAAAATCTTACTAAGAATCTCTCATCTCTTCATTAATAGTCCTGGATGAAGCTAACAGATGAATCTTCTCCAAGTACAATTCTGATCATGCATTTTCTTGAACTAATACTTTAATGGTTACTAGTTTCTCAACAAAATAAGGTTCTCTTAGCCTGGTAGTCAACTCCATTTTCTTTCTATCTTCATTGCTGCTCAGAATTAATTTTCATTATTCTTATGCACCAAATACATTTTCTAAGCCACCATTTCTTCATTTAGAGATTTGGATAATAACCTCTACATTTTGGGTAATTTTGAAGAGTGACTAAGATACCCACCTGATAGAAGATCCTAGACAATATCTCCTCTCTTTGCCCTACCCTCTACCCTCCATCTAGTTCACTGCCCTTAATAGAAAAGAAAATTTAAGAAAAATAAAATTCTGTGGCCTAGGGTGAGCATGCAATAAATCACAATTATTTATTGTTATTATTATTGCTGTGACTCCATGGTAAAAAGAATACGCTTACTTTAACAAAAGAAAAGATGGTTTCAAGTCCTAAACCTTACTTGTTAGTTTCTCATTTTCAAGTAGGTTAATTAATCTTCTTGTGCTCTCATTTCTTCACTTGTAAAGTGGTTGTAGTAGATGATTAACTAATGAAAGGATGGACTTAGGTTAAGTACTTGAGGAGAGGACTTTAGTTAAAGGCACCAATATACATGTGTTTCCCTTTTCTTTTGTTCCATATGTACCCTATATTTTAGCTATAGGCTAATCATCATTTGTTTACCATGTCTTTCCTTTCCTAACACTAAAAGTTTTCTCAGGCTAGTCCCTCCATCCAGAATGTATTCCTGTATCTTATCTGTCAACACTTTACCTAAGGCACAGCTGAGATGTTTCCCTTATTTAAAGTCCTAATATTTTTCCACCAGGAAATTTCTTTCCTATCCTGCATACCCTCTTTTATGTTTTCAAATATTATTGTATATGTCCTCCTTATTTATATATACCTGTTGCTTCCCTTATTTAGACTATAATGTATGAAAGGCAAAGATGGAAGCATCATTCCCCATGATATCTCCTAAATGATTATCTCAGTGCCTTGCTGATAAGAAACATTCAATAAACTTAGGTTAACTATACTATAATTTTTCTGTATACTTTTGTCTCTATTTTAAGCTCCTTCCTTCCCTTCTAAAGTAATGTCTACATTTAGGGACATTTCACATCAAGCAGAGTACATAATATATTTTTACTTTCTATTGATCTACCCACATATCTTTTCAAATCTTCCCTGAAGATGTGGTATCATGGGTAGTCACAGATGACAGCTGGAAAAGACAAGAGTAAGTGCATTTCAGGGGAATATCTATAGTGGACTAACATGCCCTACTTCTGGCATCTGAGAAAGAACACAGCAAGGAAGGAGAAAGCACTGTTGACTTGGACCTGGAGGTTATAGTTGGCTCCTGAGATGTGGGGGTTCTCTGTCCGCTACTCTAAATTATTAATGGTATCCCTAAACAGGTCCAAGAGTCTATGCTTGCAACTTAGCTCCCTTTTCTAGTGGTGGCTGTAGTGATGATACTGATACTTATTATTTTCATTTATGTGGCACTTTCACTTACATATATCTCATTTTGACACGGACTGCAGGCAGGGAAATACTGGGTAGAAAAGGGAGCTCCCCAGCAAAGGCCCCACCCTCAAGCCTGGAAACTTGAAGCTCTAAATGAGAACAGGCATTCCTGTTTTCATGACCAGATGTTGCCTTTTCCAAGACCACTCTGGCCTGCCATGCCCCTATCCTGTGCCCATATAAACCCCAAGCTAAATTTCCTTATTTCTAAAAAATAAAATAAAATAATAAAATAAAGGCAGGTTTCTCACTGTGAGAGAGAATTTTCAGTTGCTTATAAAGAGTGATACAATGCAACCCAAGTGCTCTGTAGACATTTCAATAACAGTAGTGAGTCTAAAGTTTCTTTTCAGAAGGGTTTTAGGGCTTCCTCACATCACATGGACAAAGGGATATTTGCTTGTAAGCAGACTCTGCAAGGGTATTTCATACACCCTGTCTGCTCCAACCTGAAGAGTAAAGAAACAGAAAGCAGAGGCAGGGCGTGGTGGCTCACACCTGTAGTCCCAGCACTTTGGGAGGCCAAGGCAGGTGGATCATGAGGTCAAGAGATGGAGACCATGGTGAAACCCCATCTCTACTAAAAAAAATACAAAAATTAGCTGGGCATGGTGGCATGAGCCTGTGGTCTCATCTACTCAGGAGGCTGACAGGAGAATTACTTGAACCCGGGAGGCAGAGGTTGCAGTGAGCCCCGATTGAGCCATTGCTCTCCAGCCTGGCACCTGGCAACAGGGCAAGACTCTGTCTCAAAAAAAAAAAAAAAAAAAAAAAAAAAAAGAAAAAAAAAAAAAAGAAATAGAAAGCAGAGTCAGGGGTGCCCTGGGATGTTTGTGACTTTATAGGTCTGTTGAGCTTGGGAAGATACTGATGTTTGCTATATTTTTCTGAAAGCCTTTTCCAGTAATAAAAAGCACACCTTCTCTTTATTTCTACCAGATTTTTTATATTTTTGTCCATAAAAAATGTCCAAAGTCACACACTACTACCTGAATGCAGTGATTCATCCCTACCAACAAATATCACAGAATACAATAAAAGTTGCTCACTGGGCTGAAAGATGGGCTACCATAACATCTGCCGACGAAATGATTTGCTAAACAGCACTGGAAATATGTCTCCCATTAAAAACATAGCGTTAGGGAATCCATCCAGAATAATGACAGAAGCACAAACGCAGGAGTAATTAGAACCCTATTTCTTTCTACTTAAGCCTCCTACGTAACGTGATTTTGGTTTGTGGTCTAAAATAATTGTTTCTATATAAAAATGATTGTCATAGCTTTGAAGTTGTATGTGTTCACTCTTAAAAGCCACAAATTTCATAGACAAAATTACCACAACAACTAAACTATTAACCAAGGAAAAGATTGAAAAGATTCAGGCTGGTACTTCACACATAAATATTTGTTTTATTGGGGAAAAAAAAGAGGATAATTTGGAGAGACACTATACCAACATCCTCCAGCATTTCATGTTTTCCAATAGAAATTTAAACAGTGTTGCTAATAACTTAATGCAAGGATTACTTCACAAAGAAAATAACATGCAAAGATATATTTTACATTGATAATTTGAATACAAAAAGAACAAATTATTGGGTTTTTTTTTTTTTTTTTAGAATGTTGCTATAATACCTATTTTCCTAGAAGAGGTTTCAATGCAGTCAAATTTTGATAAAGTAGAAAAAGGTTAAGACCTTAGAGGCGTATTTGAGGATATCAGGGAAAAGGCAATAACTTGAAAAATAATTGTAAATCAGTTTTTTTAGCTGATAATGCAGCCCTTGTCGATAATGGTTTCTAAATTACTAATATTCTTAATTCTTTTGAGAAAAGAAGTTATCGATGACATTAAATGAATGACATTAATTAAATGTCATTAAATAGTTAATGGATGACATTAAAACATGTATCAAGGTGATTGTGGCCTTCTTTTATAAATGGATGTTTTTTCTTAAAGTGTGTAGATTGCTGAGCATTGTCTGTATACTGTGAAAAGCTGATGCCTGTCCACAAGGGTAGCTGGGAGTTCCCCATCCTGGGAACATGCGGAGCGAAGGGTAAGCCTTTGGGAGCACTGTGCTATGACTGCAGATGCTCCCTGGCTACTCAGAGCCCAGCGGTGACTAAGCCAAGGCTGCTCTGTTAGCTGCTTTCTTCATGTCTTCAATGGTTTAGGACTGGCTTTATAACTAGCTTCTGGTTGTCACTGACCTGCATGGGCCTTGAACCTTGATCCTAACTTTGCCTGTTCTAAGGCCTAGTAACTATGAGTGGAGTCTAACACTGACTGATTTTTGAAAGGTCCCATAGAACCCAACAAGCTTCCTTCAGGCACTTTTGCACATACTCTGGGACGTCCTTTGGCCAAGTCAATTCCGGAAGAGTTTGACAGCTACGATACAGAAATCCCCGTGCTAGATCCTTATATAGTTTCCGAAATCTCATTCTCACAACAGCACTATTTTGTAGGTAAGAAATCAAACCCAAGGTACAGAATGATGTTGCAACTTCCTCAAAGTCACAGTACTAAATAACTTCAGAGCTGGGATTCAAACCCAGGTCTTTTTTTTTTTGAGACAAAGTCTCGCTTTGTTGTCCAGGCTAGAGTGTGGTAGCAACATCTTGGCTCATGGCAACCTCTGCCTCCCTGGCTCCAGCAATTCTCCTGCCTCAGCCTCCCAAGTAGCTGGGATTACAGGTGTGCACCACCACGCCTGGCTAATTTTTTTATTTTATTTTTTTATTTTTAGTACAGACAGAATTTCGCCATGTTGTCTAGGCTGGTCTTGCACTCCTTACATCAAGTGATCTGCCCACCTCAGTCTCCCCAAGTGCTGGGATTACAGGCCTGAGCCACCACGCCTGACAGGTCTTCTGATACATCTATCACTAATGCTCCTAAACTACACAGCAGTTCTGTGTACTACTCACATTTAAACCACCTGCAAATGCTCTTCAGTAGTTATACCTGTCAGGAAAAAGACAGAGGCAACCAAAAGAAACACTTTCCCTAACCTAGTTCTTAAACAAAGACAAAAAAGTAGGAACCAGAGAAAGCAATTATTCCCATAACATATTTAAATCAGATAAATATTTCCACTTGCTATCTTGAAATTGGAAAGTTGGAAATGGTTTATGGTGAGTAAAAGAGTTTGGAATGTGGGCCTATCTAGGAAGATAGCAAAGTCGTAAAAAGCAAGTTTCTGAGGTCAGACACCTGAGTTATCTTCTAGCTTTGTTATTTATGATCTAGGTGGCTTTTGGCAGGTTGCTTAATCCCCTGTGTCTCAGTTGCTTCCAAGAGATACACTGGAGAGTCAAAAAAATAGCATTCCTAATATAATTCCTGTTCCTTTATCTCACCAGGCTGCCTATAGCACATTACCCCATGGACTATTTCTTAAATGCATACTGTGAAGATTTTTGAGCATTGCATAACTATATTGCATTGTTTTTTGTGTTAAATGTTTTTCGTATATAATTTTAAAATTATCATAATAATTGTTGTGATATGATTTGGTACTTCTTTAATTTTTAATAAAAGCTTAAAAAATGAAAATGGTTTGAACTTCCAGGTCTTGGAAGGTCCTGACTTAATCTCATGGATGCTTAATTTATCTGTCATATGATTTGGCTATTAATGGCTATCATATAGTATTTTTTGGTAAAGATTAATAAAATAGAATGTGAGGACCAGCACAATGCCTGACACATAGTGGGCTCTCAACAAATCACTTCTGTTGTTTTTCAGAAAGAAATAATTGCTCTTTTTAAGAATGATTAGCCAGCATTCTACCCCAAAGTTCAGGAAAGGGATGGAAAGTGAAAATTTTGTAATTTCTGGAGACCTCCCCCATGTCCAGGGCCTTCCTCTGAGTAAAACAGAGGAAGATATGTTATCATGGACCTTTCTTTCTCTTCAACATTTAGAGATCATGGGCAGAGAAGCCTTAGAAGACAGAAATTTAATTCAAAGACTAAATGCATAGGAATGGAAATATTGTAGAAGGTGGTATACTGCTACAAAACCTAACTTTTAAATGTAATTTGCCAGCTAGGTGCGCTGGCTCACACTTTGAGAGGCTGAGGTGGGTGGACCATGAGGTCAGGAGATCAAGACCATCCTGGCCAATATGGTGAAACCCGAACTCTACTAAAATACAAAATTAGCTACTCAGGAGGCTGAGGCAAGAGAATAACTTAAACTTAGGAGGTGGAGGTTGAAGTGATCCGAGATCAGGCCACCACACTCTAGCCTGGGCAACAGAATGCGACTCTGTTCCCCCCATCATACCCCCCAAAAAAGTAATTGTCAACTTAAAAAGAAGTCAGGAAAAGCTGAGGAATGGTTACTACTCTCTTTTCCATCACAGGGCGCACCCTCCTATTTTACACCTGTATTTTTTGTAAATGTTAATCAACACAGATGTAAAAAATAAAATAAGCCAAGGCTCTAAGAAGAAGCACAGATAGGAGCATTTCAAACAAAGTATACCTGGCTAGTAGGCACCCAGCCAGATGGCCTTTCTTACAAAGGAAATTCTTTAGGGGCATTGTGTAGCACCATCTGCAGTGAGCAAGATGGCAAATCATAAGGGCATATTAGGCATTTGGCAAAACTTGTGCTGGGGCTCCAACTATGCTGGATACAGAAGTCTCTCTGTTATCCAGGTCTTTATTTCCCACTTGCAGGATCATATGCAGCCAATTCCCTATATCCCTTGAAGGCTTCATCCTCCCTCTGACCATACATGGCATCCCTTTGGCCTTTTGTCATTTTTCAATTATTATGAGCCTAGGAGGATAGAAACTAATTTTAATATCTGCTGTAATAAAACATAAAAGAAATATAAATGTATTAATTTTCAAAAAATTCAGTGACTAAAGCCAATTTATTTTCTTTGGCCAAGGATTTCTCTGCGGCTGCTGCCTATAGAAGAATTTTAGTTTCCTTTCAAACATTCCACTGGTGCCAAGTTAAGAAGTTACCTGAAAGAGAATGCATAAAAATAAGGTTGAAATGTCTCAGCTTTGTTCCTTTTGAAAAGATGAGAATATAATGCATTACTTAGGTAATGCTACTTCTCTGATTCAGTAGGACAGCTTGATGAGAAGATATCATGCTTTGTACATAACCATTGTTTTCTTTTTGTTATCAATAAATTGAGTCTTTACTTCATTAGAGCCTACCCAAATGCATCATTGCAACAGAACATCTCCCCACATTACTGTATCCATTATGTGCAGAGTAAGTTCATCCAATTTCCCCAACAGTTTATGAGAAAAAAGAACAAATTAAAAAGGCCTACTCTCTTACATATCAAGGTGATTTATGCCAGTGTGTGAGCCCATGTATTTATATTTTCTCTGGCCCTTCTATTTGCTTAATATATGAAATAGGAAAGTTAATATTCGTCTGAAAAACTATTTTCTGGTCTCTACTGATTTGAATATAAAGTTCAAAAGGAGATGATATCTTATAAAGACTCTAAGCTTACTGCATTAAATTAACAATACTAATCTCAGTGTTTCACATGGTACTATGCAGAGCAGTTTTACAGACATTAAATGAAAAATGCCAAAGCTGTATTTTATATGAAAAGCAAGAATAGAAACTTCTCTAGATATCCCTTCAAGTCTTTTTAGAAGATATACTTCAGTTAGTGGTGGTGAACAGGTGGGCAGAAAGAGAGCCAACATTGAATGGGCTTTTCCTCCTGCTTACCATTCTTCAACTTCAGACCTTTCTAAACCTCACTGACCTGGAGGAAATAAACAGAGAAGAAAGGAGCATAGCAAGAAGAAGAAGGAGAAATGGACAACCATTCAAAAATGTTTAGAAAAAATCATCAATCACCAATCTCAGGAATTCTGGGAAGGAAACCAGACAACTATAACATTAGAAAATCCAGCTATGCTCCCCTCCAGACATACCCCATGGAGAAAATTGAAGAGGAAAGGGATGCGGCCCACTTCAGCCTCAAACAATTTTGCACATGGCATAAGGTGATGGTAGAATATGAAAGGGGAAATCCGCAGGAAGGTTTCGTGATTCTATAGACCTTGGTAAAATTCCTGCTCATCACGTTAGTTTCCCAATTCTCCTTTTCCCATGTATGTATGGAGATAGGATATTTAAGCAGTCCTGACCACCTCTATTCTTGATTTCACATGTCCATTAATTTAAAAAACATCTACTGAAAATCTCTCACATGGTCCGCTAGGATTAATAAAGATATCACACATAAACAATGCCACTGCTAAGTTTATTGGGCTCAAGGCCTCACAAGGTTTGTGAGAGAGGGTGTTGGAGACAGATCCAGGAATAGAAAACTATAACAGTAGAATGAAAAGAGTATGCATCAGGTGCTATGAGATTCCACTCAGTTTGTCCAGGCATGATTTGTTTTTTGTAATAGAAATTTAAGTCTATGATGATTGCCTATCTGCACAGATAAGTCTTTTTCCAGTATAAACATAAGCCAACAATTACCACTTCTTTATTCTACAAATTGTTAGTCTCCATAGTGAGGTACGGAACAAAGTCTGGGAGGAAAATATTACGAAGAATTGTGAATAATGCTCCTATTTACTTATTTTTGGGGAAAATTAAGTTAAGCTAATGCTTAATGAACTGTATTGGATGCCACCAAATCACAATGGAAATTGATGGAAGAAAAGGGAGT